AAGTACTAAACAACAAAAATTAACATCACTTTGCTCTATGAACATAGGCGCAGAAAGCCGTACATACTGTCAATCAATAACAATGTTGTCAAGACATTACTACCTGTCACTGTCACGACCTACCATATAATGTTCATGAGTAAGTAGACCTCTCACGGCCTAATTAGTGAGATTTAGTTAGAATACCTGTACGTATTTTGGACCATATTAATGTGGGATTTGTCAAAATACATTACAACTAAATCTGTAAATCCTTAGTAATTGGAAAAAAGGCAGCAATGCCTGAAAGAGGTCTAACAATTACAAGATGCATTATTTTCTTAATAAAAAACCTTCTTTTCGCTTTTTAAAAGTATCTTGCTTATTGTTAGAGATGGTCCCAACAAACCCTATATGGCTATGCTCCACAGGGAATGTTCTATTCAAATATGTAAAAATATACAGGGTGTTCTATTTAACTTAACAAAGTTAACATCTGCGGCCATTTTGTTTGGACTTCATTTGTTTTTCTACTATCATTTTCGAAAAATTCATAAAAAATCGTGCAACTTTTATATTTAACAATTTTGTATAACTCTTAAAAAAAAAGTTAAAGGGGGGTCAAAATATAGTAAATCACCCTGTACCTATTACATAAGGAGTAAAATAAAATGAATATCTAATTAAAAAATTTAAATGGTTGTAGGTACCAAAAAATATTAGCAAGATTTAGCTTGCAAATAAATCTGTAGTGTCTTTATTTTAAATTTATTTTACAAAGAGTCAACTGAGGCTTAGTCAATCTAAATAAAATTATATTTCCGTTTTCTCACCTAATGTCAGAGGTTCGTGAGCGTCTCTGAAATTTCAGCCGGGTTAATACAATATAGAGTTCGTTTATACGAAGCATGGGAGTATGTGCAGCCTGGATAGAATGAAGTATTGCTGCGGAAGTCGGCCAGTCCACGTTATCTTGTAAAGGAGATTTGCATGCGAGCTTAAACATGATTTAAACCGCAACTTCTGTATCATTAAGTAACTTTAACGCAAACAACGTAGTCTAACAAATTGCCAAATATTTATTAGGTAGCTCTTTAGCTCCGCAGGTAATTATAACATGAATAATTCCTTAATTATACGATTCATCGCAGTTTATTTTGGTTTTCCAAGCGGTTTTCGTGGAAAACTGCTTTCAGCATTCGTGCACGGTTATTTACACTTTGTTTCAAATTCTATAATGGAGGTCGGGCACCGAGGGGATACTCCACCCGAGGGCGGATTGGGATACCTACTGCCTACTATTTATCGAAAACTAAAACTTTAATTGAAGTTAATCAACTCAATCGATATAAACTGCTCAATAAACGAGACAAGAGGTATGTTACTGTCAAAAACGCATACTTCTCAATTAGGGCTTCCCGATACGATACGATACCGATATTTTTGTAAATTATCGATATCGTATTGAATCATGATTGAATTTATCATCTTGTATTGATATCGACAATATTATTTTTGTAATATTATCGTATCGCTATTGATTTCAATACGATATCGATACGACATTCAATAGGTATTTATTGATATAAAAAAGTTCGAAAAAGTATAACATTTATATTAATTTATTTACTTAATTTGAATGAACATAGAAGCTAAGATATAATATGAAAAAAGAAAAATATCTATAAAATATTTTATGGAGACAAGAACAAAAAACTTAAGAGTTTAAAGATTAAATTGAACAAAAAAATTAATTTTACATTACAAATTAACTACACAAATTTCTTTTTTCAAGGAACTTTTCATCCACATATTGATTAAAATTAGAGCCTGAGCAATTTCATCCTTTAAAAAATACCTATTTTTAGTCATAACTAAACCTGCTTCTGAGAATAGTCTCTCTACAGGCACCGAAGTTGCAGGCAAACACAGAATCTCGTGCCATGCGCGATAATTTTGGATATTCGTGATTGAAATTTCTCCACCATACTAAAACATCAGTTTCTGCTCTTGATCCTGGAGAGTCCAAATATTGAATTATCTCTTTTTCCCACGCCAAAGAAACTTCTGGTTTTACAAATAGTATATTAAAATCCATTTCATCATTATCATCANAATCAAATTTTGATCAAGCATATAGTCACCATATTAGAGTTTATATCCGCACCATTCTATTAACAAAAATTCTTCACAGTCATTCAAAAAGTTTATATACAGGGTGCATTTTTGACAGGATCCCAAGACTACCTTTCACCTTTCACATATCAACTTTGTTTTCTCAAATTCCATTAAAACTGATGTGATTGCATAAAGAAATTGTGTGACGTTTCGTCATTAATATTATTCTACAATGAAAGTTAACACGAACTGTATAAGCAATTTCGCTAAAAATCCTTCCATAAATTTTTATTTGATTTTAAACATTTGAATTCAAACTTTTTGCCATTGTGAAGTACTAGACTGTGGACGTTGTCATTATAGAAAACTTCTTATTTAATTGTAAGTAACTCCTCTGTGTCTTTATTACTAAATAAAAAGAGAAGTACAATGGTATAAGATTTTAGTTGAACTTCCTGTTAATAGATGGTGCAATCAAGGTTTAGCATGTTACAACTGTCCGCCAAATATATTTAGTTTTATTTTTTTTTCATTTTCAGTGAAATGATTTCATACAAAAATAAAAAACTACAAGGCACGTTTTTTTCGCATCATTTCATTGTCTGTTAAAATCTAAAAAACAGGCAAACACCCCACTGTTGTCATCTTTCTTGATTCGCATAAGTACATGTTTTTCATAAGAAAATAAGAAATTTAACAATGAAGACATACACACATACAGTTCCTGATAGTAGACGCAAAAAGTCGAAAAATTACTACCCTATTATATGCACACATCGAAAGCCGATAAAACTAAATTTAATAAAATAATTGGCGACATATTCAGCCATTCTTGTTTCACCATTAACGTTGACCATTTGTTTCTTTGCTTGTCTAACACCCTGTTGTTATATCTCATCAGGTGCATTGGTATTATGTAGTTCACCTAAACTCGATCAATATTAACCCTTCAGTGATAACGTGCAATCTTGCGACACGAGTGATAACGTCGGTCTGACTGACCGATAGTAATGTTGACCCCAAAAAACCGTTCTCTATGTATTTTTAAACATTGGAAATATAAAATATTGAAGAAAATAAGAAAAAACTAACCAAAACTTTATTCACTTGGGTAGATACACCGTATGAAAACAATATAATAAAAGTAGAGTAGACAAAAATATCTAAAAACTTCTTAAGTAATAATATGATAAGTATACTTTATCAAAGAAAAAACATAAAAATAAAAATTACTAAACTATAGAAAATATGGCACAAAAGTTACAAATGTAATTAATCGATGTCCATTTTTAGCTTTTTGGCTTCGCCTTTTACTCCTGGTAAATGAGTGATTATGTTTTCTGAACGGGTTCTCACGTTTCTTGTGGGAAAATGTTTGTTCCACTTCGTTGTACCGTCTTTTCCAAGGAAATAAGGTTCATTGAAAGTAACAGGATCTTCCTCAGCATCTGAGAGATCTTGTTCTGAAGCCGTGTCTTCGTCAAATATTTTAATGTTGTCTATTTCGTCGTCATCTTCAGAGTCATCGTATTCGGTAACGTATGGATCAATTTCGTTCATCAACTGTAACAGTCTAGCTTGTTCTTTCTCGTAGGACATTTTCCTGAAGAAAAAACAATATTTTAAATGTAAATAACACAAAAAATAAAATTACATCTTACCTAATCCGTAGAATATTTTATTGCACGAGTGATAATGTCGGTCTCGTACACCGTAATATGCGATCGTTTAGCAACACGCGCATGATATGACCTAATATTGTATACTAATGTCCGTTAACAGATTACGGGAAGGTACTCTAGCGCTCACTCCCCCACCATCAAAGATGTGCCATACTAGGAAAAAAACATATTGAGTCGGTCTGTGAGACCGAACGTTATCACTGGAAGGTTAAA